TTTACGTGTTGACATTTGAGTACGGCTAAAGCCGGTGCTAGGGGGAGCGAGGGATGTTTGACTTTTAACGTTATCCCTCATGTACATATTCAATCAAACATAGTCTAAATTTCCATGCAATTTTGTGATTTTAATGCTTCCGAGACTTTTTTCAGATATGTATATATCACCCCAGCAGGTGTCAAGTGCCGTGTGGCAGCCGTAATAAGTTGCCTCGTACTACAGTGTTGTTATATCTTTGTCTGGTCCTTTGGAATCATTGATTCCAGCGCTTTAAAGTGTCAGAAATAATTGTTTCCTAGTAGTCGGAACGTCGTTAGCCGCATTTATAGTCCCCCAGAAGCTTGATATTCCGGGCCTTACCTACATTTGCCAACTTTGCTGTTACCTCTGAATTCTGAATTCCGTGTACATGCCACTACATGTATACATGTTAACTAGTTTTGACAATATACTTTATTCGTTTGTCAGGTGATTGTGAACCATATAATTAATTAACAGTAAGTTGATTAGATTTTGCTGTTTACAACTATTGATTGTTTAAGGGTAGCGCATTACACAGCTCTTATTAACATCTTCATTAGCATGTTAAAATTCGTATATGAACTTTAGTGTTTTCACATGGGTGTACTTTTAAAATCATTATTTCTGAACAGTATTTTATATACGGAGCCCCAAAGGTGACATTTTCGACACTTTTTTCCCGGCATTTAATTCGTTTTTACGAAATAATAATTCGTAATTACGAAATATTATTTCGTCATTATGAAATTTTAATTCGTTTTACGAAATGTTAATTCGTTTTTACGAAATATTATTTCGTAATTACGAATTACTAATTCGTAATTGCAATATTAATTCGTATTTACGAAATATTATTTCGTTATGACGGAATATTAATTCGTAATTACGAAATATTTACTCGTAAAAACGAATTAATATTTCGTAATAATTATTACGAAATAATAATTCGTTTTTACGAATTTTTGAGGCTATTAATCTTTTCTGCTATATTATATGCTATATTATTACTTTCTTTTATCGTATACATTAGTTCAACTAAAAGGGGGGCTCCAGATTTTCACTCATCTAATCAATTCAAAAAAAATATTTCTTTACAAGTTATGTGATCATAAAAACATAATATTTGATTTCAAAACTCAATAACATCGACAAAATGATTGATTTGAAGAACAGGACCCCCATTTTAACAACATTTTCCTAGCGCTGTAAAACCACGGCTGTGGCGGCAACGCTATTGACAGGCGATTATTTCAATTTAAATGTATATAAGTGTTAAGTTGTAAGACTCGGGAAAAAAAACAAATATTTATATTGCATTAACATGCAATTTTTCAACAAAATTGTTCGTTTTTAGGAATTAATATTTCGTAATTACGAAATAATATTTCGTAAAAAAGAATTAATATTTCGTAATAACGTATTTATATTTCATAAAAGCGAATTAATATTTCGTAAAAACGAATTAATATTTCGTAAAAACGAATTAATATTTCGTAATTATGAAATGATATTTCGTTTTTACGAAAAAATAGATCGTAAAAACGACTTAATATTTCGTAAAAACGAATTAATATTTCGTGAAAACGAAATAATATTTTGGTAATTACGAATTATTATTTCGTAAAAACGAATTAAGTTCCGGGAAAAAAGTGAGAAAAATGTCACCTTAGGGGCTCCGTATAGATTTAACTTTATTTTTAAAAAAGGTTAATAAAATTGAAGACTGCTAGGTTTATAGTACGACGGCAAAATATTTCTACAATTTATAAAATGCAGCTTTAAATGAATGTCTTTAAAGATCCTGAATGTTGTTATTAAGGATGTAACAATACTTAAGTGAAATTTTATTTATGTATAAAATTATTCTTCTAAATCAATTTCTAAACATCCGATAATATGTTTTTATGTAATGCAAATACGCATTATAAATAATCATTAGAATATATTCATTCAATTCTTATTGAAACATTTTGCTTACACTTGATCGAAAATAAATTTCTAATTAACCCCCTTTATTTTCATGAAATGTAAATTTGGTAATATTTTTATTGTTTTTGAAACATATAATGTTGATAAATCTTGATTTCATATTTATGATATAAAAATGAGTTTCAGGATCTTTAAACAAAGATGCGATTGAAGAAATTAATAACCGGATAGGAACAAACAGCTCGAATGCCTGTATTACTACAACTAAATAAGCTTTGAAACAAATAATAAAACAGTGGATGATTTAGTTTGTTGAATATCATTTACTCAAAAAAAAATTAGGATATATTTTGATATGGCTGTTTGGTACTGCCAGTGTTTTATTACCATGCTGAATATACAATATAGATGTAATCGGTTGTTATCAGATAAGATTACGTGTGGGCATTATGCTGAATGTCACTTAGCTTCTTGATCAACTTGAAGATAAAGATGGTTCTACACTGTCTCCAGGATTTGTTTTATAAATATTCATAACATCTACAGCATGATAGGTTACTCAAAACAAAACAGAAATGTACATAATACATAATTACATTGGAAGTTTAACCTCCTTACCACAGAACGTCACAATTAATTTACCAGACCACAGTCCAGCAACCGCATTTTCCTGGCCAGGCTGTCAAGCAGCTTACCAGTACTAGTCGCTCTCACTCAAAATTGCAACGTGCTGATAACTTCATTACATGCTAAGACAAAGGTACTCTTCAGAATATGGTAGAAAGGATTACATGATCAAGCACAGTGAAATTGACCTTCACCAGCCGGGATTCGAACCTCAGGTATCCAAATTTACTTCGAGCCGAACGGTACGGTTACTCCCAATTTCAAGCATAAGCATATCTTTTACATTGACTTGGACTACTTGCACCCTCTATGTCTTTTTAAGTATAATAATTATTGAATCAATCGTAGCTGTCATTTTCAATATGCGTAATGAATCAACGAAATTTCATGACCAGGGAAGCACTGCAAAAATAAGAAAACGTAATTATCTTACCTTTCCTACATTAAATATAGAATTGAAAATTCAAAGGTAATCAAATCAAGAAACATTATTAAACAAGTTTGATACCAATTTACAGATAAAGTTTATAGTAGTTATCGTCGGGAAATATGTGTTTTGATTTAATGCAAATGATGTGTACTTTTTAAGGGGCGATAACTTCTCCATTTTTGCTTCAACTAGAACCTTTTATTCTTAATTTAAGGTTTTACCTATTAAAAAGCACCCTAAACAATAATAATAATTTCGCACAGGATTGATTCCGTATAATTTGATGATGGGCCAGTTAATTCTTACATTCCTGCCAATCCTGGTAAATATAGTACCATCAGGATAAAATTGAAAATTAAAACCATCCAAAGCAGTCGTTTATCATGCAGACTGCACTTTTCAAGAATAAACCGGAAACTAGAGAATGTACTTGTACACACATTTGTACATGGTTATGGTGTTTAAAAGTTAGACATAGTTAACAAGTATAGTATGTCTATTATGTTATTATTAGATTATTGGTATATGTCGCTTTTCATGGAATGGCGCTAACGTCTCACATTGAAGGTTCCATGATTACCACCATATGAACACATCTGCGGATGTTTCAAATTCCAATTTTAACAAGTTTATGTTAAATGTTGAATACTGCTTAAGCCGGTGTTAGGGGGCGTGGAGGTAACCTTCACTTACCAGTACCGTTCATGAATAGATTCAATCAAACAGAGTCTGCAACATTTTCAATGTTGCTGTGCTGGGCTTTTTCTAGGGATTCTTATTTCTCACTCATAATTATTGTCATAAAATTTTGAAATATTCTATTCCAAATATGTTTCCTGCCATGCATAAATTTATGAAATTTTTTTTCAACGACAAAAAAGTCCTTCTTTTCCATGCATTTTTTATTTTTGATAATATTTTGCCATGGCAAACTTTTATGTAATTTCCATGGTAAAATATTGCCATAGAAATGCCATGGTAAATTTTTGCCATGGAATTGCCATAGCAGAAATTTGTCATGGTATTTCCATGGCAATATTTTGCCATGGCAAGAAGAAAAATAGAGATAACAGTACAAAAATAACAAAAGCACCAAGAACATGACTTTTTGTGAAAAGAATAAGTTTAAGAATGTTTTGAGAGTTTTAAACAAATAATTGCTTTGGCAAATGTAGGAAAAATCTTGCCATTGCAATTTTTTTGACTTTGGCAAAATACCGGAATGCCATTGCAAAACACACTTTGCCATGGCACATGCAAACTTAAAATGTATTTTTGTTAAAAAGTAGTAAAGATAGAAAAACAAAACATGTAAACTTTTAAACCTATTAGTAAATATAACATCTCAAGACAGTTTTCAATTTTTTAAAGCGCATAAAAATAGGGTTAAAAACATTTCATGTTTAAATGTTGAATTCTGCTTAAGCCGGTGCTAGGGGGCGTGGACGGTAACTTGCACATTCCAGTACCGTCCATGAATAGGCTCAATCAAACCGAGCCTGCAACATTTTCAATTTAGCCGTGTTGGGCTATCTTTATGGATTCTGTATTTATCTATTTTAAATTTGGCAAAAACCGGCGCGGCAAAAAAAAAACGGCAGGTTTATAATTGAAATCAGGAAGTTCAAAATATGAGATCATGAAGTTGAAATTATGAATTCACGAACCTGAAATTGCGATGTTCAAAACGTAAATTAGCTAAGCTGAATTCGTGAAGTTGAAATTGTGAATTCAAGAAGTCAAAATCTTGAATTCATGGGACAATTCTTGAAGTCCATTTGTTAAACCAGACATTCACTTGAAATTGAAAATTCAAAAAAAGATAAAAACCAGAATTCATGAAATTGAAATGATCCCACTGGTCTTTTATAATTGAAATATCATTTCCTACACTATCAATTATTATATTGGCGATAAAACCAAATAATTAAGAAAATTTTATATGAAATCGAGGAACATTGAACGAACTTTATTTTCATATTTTATTTAGCTACAATGTACGGAAAAGGTTGTTATTTTGCGAGAGATTCAAGCTACTCTAATAACTATGCAGAGAATGGTACAGACAAATCAATGTTTGTTGCAAAAATATTGCCAGGAGAATACGTATGCGGAAACCCTGATTATTGTCGCCCTCCACATAAAGTTGAATCAGATCAAAGCAGCGACCTCTACGATTCATGTGTAGATAACGTGCGGAATCCAACGATCTTCGTGATATTTGACAACAACCAGATATATCCAGAGTTCCTTGTTAGATACACAACAAAGTAGAAAAACAATGAAGTAGTGCTGTTAGTGCTTTGTTTGGGATGTTTTCTTCTTGACATTTTCGAATTATTTAACATTCTTTTTCTATTGCAAATAACGACTTAAAACTGTTTTTTTAAGTACTAATTGTATGAATATTTATGTATTGTTTTACAACTCTTGTAATATGTTTATGTCTTCTTTGTAACCGTCGATGTGTTACTTTTATTTGTGAAAAATATTGTTTTCTTTTATTAATGTTTTTAAAAAAATAGTCGTCTTAAGTTTTCATGTGCAGTGTATTTTGTGTGAAATGTACTTTTGATATTGGAAATAAACTTCAGTATTTACCACAAACAAACATGAGTAAAAAGACAACAAAAATGGACCTTCTTTTACCAGATACCTCAAACAGCTTTCTTTAAGTCGTCCATATAGTCTAATTTGTTAGCTGGTTCATAACAAAACATTCGTAGAGACACTAAGATTAATATTATTGTTCTTTAAATAACTTAAAAGATAAAAATGTGTTAAATCATGATATTTTGTCAACCCTTTTAATAACGCTGGTCGTTGAATTAAAGAAATTTGTATATTTCCGATCATTTGAACGTTTTCACTTTTAAATGTTGTTAGCAGCTAACAATTTTTTTCATTATTTCAGAAATTTTAACTTTTCTATTTCAAAAAGATCTTCCTCAGATAAGGATGTTTTTGCACGTTTTCGTGTTATCCTTGATACCGTTACCGTACTTATGAACTTGTCGTCTCTGTTCATCTTTAATACGATCCCTAATGTCTATAGATACCTTTTTCAACAGGAAATAATTGAAGGTTGTAATTCTTCTGAATAATTTCTAAAGTAAACATTCAGTTAAAGTTTTAAACCTTTGACTTACATCATTAGTTACACAACTTTCTGAAACTTTTGCATGAAGCCCGCATTTCATTTTTTTCGGTTAAAAGTTCATATTCAAATTGCAGATCCATAAGGTGGACATTTGTTTTCTTGTTCAAAAGTAATAATTAATTATCAGTTCAATGAAAACAAACGTTTTTCTTTCGTTTTCGAAGTTTATTCTTCTTCGCACTAGAAATATTTCATTAGATAATTGCAAAGAAATTTTGCGAGCAGGCATGGCTTCGATTGTAAAACTTATGCTTAATAATCAAATGTAAAAAAAACCACTTCAAATAAGGAATTTCCGAGAGTGAATTGTTTTAACAATAATATGTTACTACAATAACAGGGTTGCTAAAAAGTAATAGGACTGCAGCTCTAATGTTCACATTTTTTTTTAAAAATTACGTACAAAATTTTATAAGAGACAAATATCGTATCCATCACTTTGTCAACTATTAATGACATTTCGAATAAATTACTGTTTACATCTGTTACAAATTACACGACACCAACACTTGTTGACACTCAAGAAGACATCTTCTTGATTTAATCTTTATCAAAATTTGTTCAAATGTTTTAAATATGAATAACCTGCTGAGTGAAAATTTGTGTCGTCTGTTTTTCCAAAATCTAGGTAATCAGATTCAATAACAATTGTGAGGTGATCTTGAGAAATGAATATCTCAAAGATGTAAAATAATAAATCATCGCCCCTCCTGGACTTCTTTTCAGTTTTATAAGCTTACATTGGAAAATGTCATATAATACCAAAATGAACAGAGACGACAAGTTCATAAGTACGGTAACGATATCAAGGATGAACGAAAACGTGCAAAAACATCTATATCTGAGGAAGATCTTTTTGAAATAGAAAAGACAAAATTTCTGAAATAATGAAAAAATGTGTTAGCTGCTAACAACATTTAAAAGTGAAAAAGTTTAATTGATCGGAAATATACAAATTTCTTTAATTCAACGACCAGCGTTATTAAAACGATTGACAAAATTAAGTTAGCTAAAAATTTATTCAAATTTTTTGGCACCTTAGACCGTATTTCAAAAGTGAAAATAATGAAACAACTGAAAATGAATATAAACAAGAACATTATTTCAATTAGAAGCAATTTTCTTTCACACCACGTGCCGGGCAATATACATATTTGGATCTTCACAGAGAAGCTGTGAATCAAGAGATCCTCAAGGCTAAACCAAAACGGAGAAATTATACGAATATTTCAAAACCAGAACTCGAATCAGTGAAAAGTTTATTTAATATTTATATATCTAGTAGATCTAGATGTCGCAAAAATTGATATGTTAATACGTTTTACTTCTTTTTGATCAAACGGCTTGGCACAGAATTATTGCACCGGCCAGTTTATGTTAACATAATATTCTCTTAATCCATAATCTCTACGTGCTGTTTATTGGGTATAAAAAGAAACGTTTTCTCGTATTTTAGTTCGTTTTACATTGCGAAATTTAAAAGAAGTTATAATGTTAAAATTTAAATACATACATGTTTAAAGAAGGATAAAGAGTTGTATTTATTCCAGTGTAATGTAATGCTAATGCGATTATACGGAACAGTTACTATATTTTTTTTCTAAAACGCTCTTACTGCACCTTTACGGCACAGCACGGCGACCACTGCGCACCCAAGGCGATTCTACTGCATTTATCTGATATTGCAGAATAAGGAACTGTAGACTCCCTACTTACAAATCTTGAAACAAAGACCAACTAAATTAGGACCAACCCTCTATTAAGACCAATGTTTTAAAGAAAGGAAGTTTCTGGTATTTATGCTAATGGTAACATAACCCACAATTAAGACCATCCAACAGATCCTCTTTTAAGACCAACAATTTCAGTTCCTATTCATTCTTTTATTATCTAACCCTACTTTTAAGACCACTGATATTCCAGTCAATACCTACTCAGATAACAAATTTGCTGTTATTCATCTGCTTGAATTCTCTAAAGCATGACACTTCATGGAACAATTTTTTTAAAGTGTTATGATTGGAAAATTGTATAAAGGTAAAAACATAAATTTAAGATTAGTTTAATGATACTTTCTGCACATGTATTTTGTGAAGAATTATTTCTAAATTAATACGTAAATTATGTACATGAAACAAAACCTATGAAAATCTATTCTTTTATTAAATATCTCTAGACTAATTTTTTAATAAGGATTAAATATTACAACATCAGTTTATAATAATATTTGATTTATAATATAATTGTTTAAATATGTTTCTACATGAGAATTCATATAGAGCGGTCGTGATTTTTTATGCCTTGACAATTATATCCACAATTAAGAGCACCGCTATAAACACCACTTTAGTCCGATCCCTTTGTTGGTCTAAATAGTGGGTTTTCACTGTATATACGTATAGAACGTGTTTGTACGTAAATGTCCTTTAAACCATGGATGATGAACGGCAGCAAGCTAGAATACTGCTTGCTTGCATGCAGGTGCAACAGGTACATACTATTCAGAATGAGTTATCGCTGGTATGTAAAGCACAAATTCAGCGCAGTATGAGCGCAGCGAGAGCGCCGTGTAAGCGCTATGAAAGCGCAGTGGAAGTGCAGTGGAATCACAAAGAACGCAGTAGAAGTGCAGTCCGAACGCAAACAATCATCAATTAAGGCCCTGTCACACTATACTGCGTTTTTACTGCGTTTGCACGGCGTTGTAAAATTTAACAAAGCACCGATAGATCGCAAGAAAAATTTGATATTTTTGATGACATGGAAACTTCACGGCGTCCTCACGACGACCATGGCGTTGCTACGGAGGTTCCGCGGCGTTATAATGCGTCCTTACGGCGTTTTAATTGGCGATTGTCTGCGTTCGAACTGCGCTTCTACTGCGATCTTTGCGCTTCCACTGCATATTCACGGCGCTCACAAGGCGTTTGGTCTTTATTGTGGCTTAAATTATAAAGGCATGTTTATTTCATGGCCACTCTATTTGAATAATAACGTGAAAACATGTTTCAACTATTACATTATAATCTTCAAATATGATTATGAACTGATGCTTTAATATTTAATCTTAATTAGAAAGTAAGTCTGAAGATATTTAATATCAAAGATTAAAAATTCATAGGTCTTGTTTTATGACCATAATTCATCTATAAATTAAAAAAAAATAATTCTTCACAAAATAAATATGCAGAAATGATTAAATCACTCCGAAGTTTATTTTCTCACCTTTATACAATTTTCCAATCATAACAGTTTTAACACCTTATTTTATCAAGACATAAGTGTCATGCTTTAGAGAATTCAAGCAAATGAATGACAACAGTCTTGTGATCTGAATAGGTATTGACTGGAATATCAGTGGTCTCAATTGTGGGGATAGATAAATAAAACAATGAATTGGGACTGTAACTGGTGGATCATGGTACCACTAACATAAAGTACAGAAAATTCCGTTCTTTTAAAAATTGGTCTTAATAGATGGGTGGTCTAAATTCTAGGATGGTCTTAAGAAGGGATTCTACTGTACTGTTTTCTGCATTTCAGATGAACGCAGTAGAATCGCCTTGAGAAAACAATGGTCGACGTGACAGTGCTGAAAAGTCTCAGTTAGAGCATTTTAGAAAAGAAACAAAGCACCTTAAAGCGCTGTTCACACGCAGTATAAGAGCAAAAGAGACGCCGCACAATCTCCGTACAAGCGCCATGGCTAACCACGGCGTTCAGTCGGCGATCCTTCTGCGCTTTCACAACACTCCTGATGCGTTCTAGGAGATGCTACTGAGTTGCTACGGCGTCCTTACTGCGATCCCACGACGCTCTTATCAGAACGCCGAGTGACAGCGTTTGTTTTGAGCATGCTCAAAATGCGCGCCGTTGGTCGGCGTTCTATGCGATGCCACTGCGATACTGCGGCGTTGCTGCGGCGATGTTTACGATCTTACTGCGCTCACTTCGGCGTTCTGAAATTTCTTTGGACGCCGTGAGAACGCCGCCCTCGTGTGACAGGGGTTTAAAAACGCCGTAAGAACGCATTGCAACCCCGTGGAATATCCGTACTTACGTCATGATCGTCGCTCGGACGCCATGAAGATGCCGTGAAGTCTACATGTCATCAAAAATATCAGATTTTTCTTTCGATCCTGCGGCGCTTTGTTAAAGTTAACAACACAGTGCAAACTTAGTAAAAGCGCAGTCTAGTGTGACAGGGCCTTAACATAATCCAAATTACCCTTTGGAATGATTGTAATTCAGATTGAACAAGGGGCATGAATAGGATACTTAATTCTTGATTATATATATAATCAGACAATATAGCAGTTAATATGCGAAACACAGTATGATAACATCGAAATGTAACACAGCCTTTGTAACAAATTTATTATCTTAAAAGGAGAAGATTACTACAACTATATACTACACGGGAGATGAAGCATTAGATAAACATCCGATAAAAAAAATCTTTAAAACTAAGACGAAAATGTCAAATTATGTGACTAATTTTCTTGCCTTGATCACAAAAAGTACTCTCTTGTCGTAAAGCCAATTATCATGATTATAGATGAGATTTGGAACAGCGGTTACCATTCCAAAATAGCATTGCCATCTCATGTGAACAAAAAAACGAGAGTATTATCAAAGTTATATTGTATATGTTT